TGAGTCATAAGGAAAAGGGGATGGCGTATTCTCTTAGCTACTTCCTGCTGAAAAGGGACGCTGTGGGTTTCAGGGTGAAGATCTTCTCTCACTAACAAGTCAACATTTCTGTTAACCCTCTTTTCATCCACGATCTCTCTTCTGAATCCAGTTTGACTTTCTGGAAGTTCCCTGTTGATGTGTGTTCCAATATAATCATCTTCAGCAAAATTTTACTTGCATGTTCAATAATTCCTGCACTCAGATCACCTTACCTGGGAGTGAGAACACATACAGATCTCTTTCAGTCAAGCTAGTTTCTAAATTTCTTGGCTTAAATTTCTGTCTTCTAAATTTCTTGGCTTTTGACTAGTGAGCATCCCCAGGGCTACATCTGTTTGTTCAAACACCTCAATTTCATATTCCATCAATTCTGAGGTCTTATTTCTTGCCATTGCCTTTAGTGCAACTTACTCCTTCATTACCACCGATCCTTCATTACCACCGATCATATGCTACTTCTGGAAATGTGTCAGGATTGACCAATTCTTTTTTAGTACAGTGACTCTGCTTTCTTTCCATCTTCTTTTGGTGCTTCCTGGATCATGTAAGAAATTGTCCCGGAATCCTTCAATATTGCAACTCAAAGCTTGAATTTGTTCCTCAGTTCTTTCAGCTTGAGGAATGACAAGCATAATCTTCCCTTTGATTATCTAATTCCAGCTCTTTTCACATTGCATGATAGCATTTTGCTTTGTCTTTTCAAACTGTCCACTGCAATCTTCTGATAATCTTTCTTACCTAAGTATTTCTTCCCCTTTTTTTGGCCTCTCTGTAGTATAAGTTTCACAGTCTCTTCTGATGTCCGTTTTGGTCTTTGTGTTCTTTGTTACCTTTTGGTTATTACATCAGCCTTCATGGACGATATTCTTCCACAACTCCTCTGGTCTTCAGTCATTAGAGTTCAAAGCAGAAAAGCTACCCATTCCTGAGGCAGTTTTGAAATTCAGGTGTGATAAACTCAAAGTCCTATTTTGGCTTTCACTGACTTGTTTCAAGGCCTTGTTTTTACTGCTGATACTGAGCTTCTCTAGCACATCTTTCCACACATGTAGCCAATCTTACTCTTCCATAGCCCATTAGATGAGGCTCTTGCGTATAGAGGTCATGGTTGATTTTCAAAAAGGTATTTGCAATGAATCACTGACTGTACAAAATTTTATTATCTCCAGCCTAATTTCTGTCACCAAGGCCAGATTTTTTTCAACTACCAGTCCTCTTTTGTTTCCAACTTGGTCCATACAGAACAAGGGAATACTGCATGGTTTAAAATCAGGAAA